ACCAGCTGCAAGCACTGCCAGGAAAACTATCCAGCTGGAGAGCTTGAGCTGGACTCCACAGTGGGAAACAAGTGTAAAAAAACTAGGACAATGGGTTCCCTACACAACCCATGGCTACACAAACACTAATTGTCTATTATTTTACAACCTGCTTATCTTTTTTAGCAGGAATGGATCCTTGGAATAAACAGGAAAGGGACCCATGAACCACGATCCATGTGACTGATGGTATGCAAGGTCTGGGCTCAGAGGCTTCAACTTTTAAGCTTAGAGGTTCTTTGTGATCGGTCTGACTTCTTCCAGTGCAAGTCTCCCAGGATTACTCACAATCTTGTGACCAGCTATGGGTGGAAATGAGCACTTTCCTACCCAGTGTAGGGCAGCTCTTAAGAAGACACTGAAGCCTTAGGCAAGCTGAACAATTTGAAGATGTTCGTAGAACACATTTGAAAAATAGATGCATTTGTTTTGAAGGGAAAGACATTCTTAGTGTTTCTCTCTCACACCCAAGATGTATCCTATGTTTCCAACCTTCAACCAACTGCACTGCTTCAAGCCATGGATAAAGCTAGTCCTGTTTCCTTTGACTGAAATCTGTAGTCCTTATGTACACTTCAAACCAATGGTTGTTCATCCAAGAACCTTGTTAACTACCTAGTAGCCCTGTTAACTTGTCCCAGAGAAATCCCCCTGCCTTTTTGTGCCAGCAGCACTGAAGTTTTAACTCACAAAAATAAGCTACATTAATACGCTTCAAAACGAAGCCGGTTTAAATATTGTAGTTAGACATACTAGGATTTTCTCAGGATTATTCAGCAGTTTTTCACCAAAAAAAACCCTGCCAAAAAAACCTCTGGAGGAGCGTCTGCTTACTGTGCAAGTCGAGCAGAAGGCAAGTACCTCTAGCACACGTTCGGTGCTACCCACGCACCAAACCATTTTCTCTGTTAGTCATCTTTCCCTACCCTCCTTCTAAATGCAAACATTTCTTTCTTAGCACTCACGAAACTCACCTCTGTGCTGTGCCTTACATAACTGATTTCGACACGGAGCGTTGTGCCACAAGCGCGGTGGACACGTGATCCTCCAGTCAGCCTCCGAAAGCCATCTTACCCCCCAGCATGGCTTCCTGGGTGGCTGTTTGGAACTTCAAGGCCCTTGCAGCACTCTGGGACACTTACACGCCCCTAAAGGGTTTCAGCTTCTCCCTGTGTTGTTCTCATCTCGTGCTCACCTCTGCAACTCCACCAGTCGCACAAGCACAGCACTCACTGGGCGTATCTGTCCCCGACCCTCACACAGAACCAGCATCCCATATATCCATGCACTTATCATCAGTGACTATATGGATTTACCTGTGCCTCTTGTTTTCTCTCCCCTTGCACTGAACTCCCAGTCTGCTCTCATTCTGCATGCTCGTAGGGCCCCTTGCTCACTCAGCCTGCCTTAAACTAAGAGGCAGATAACTACAGATGGCTTAAACCATCATAAACTTTTTCTCACTCCTCATCACTCTTCCCTCCCCCATAAGCGGTTTTCCTTCTCCCAGGCCCCACACCCAGGTCTGCAATCCTCACCTGTGCTTCCCTCATTTATTCAGACCGTGCTGTGTGCACAAATCTCTCTTATCAGACACAACTTTTCACCTTTCTTTCCACAGCCCTCACAAGCAGGCACGGGGTGACAGGTACCTTCCTCCCTTACACACCATTGTGTGTCGACCTACGCTGAGCTTCTCAGCCCTTGTAACATGAACTGTCATTCCCATTCACTTCCACTTCATGCTCTACAGCTCCCAACTCCACTCTCCTCCCCACAAACTTCACACTTTACTTCTGACCTTAGAACAGCCATGTGGCTTATACAGCCCTCCAGGTAATTTTCCCTCCCGTTCCTTCTCCTCTCACCCCTTGATATCTTTAGTCATTTCTCCACGAGCACATTTGTTCCATTCCCTCTTGTTGTTTCACTTAGCCAGTACCTACCACAGAGATATAAACACATTTGCTACGTCTGTTGTAACAGAAAATCGCTCTTTTATTTTTTTTGTGTGTGTATGTGTTCTCCTCCTCCCACAGTCTTCACATTATTCCTCACTCACCATTTTTGGCCTCAAATGATTTCCCTGTAACATATTGCCAGTTCTTTTCCTGTGTTAGTCCACCTGCCCAGTCAGGAGGCATCCTCTGTTCTGCTGACCAAACCACTACTGCACCATTGCATTATTTCCTCTCTTTGCCTACTAAGCAATAATATCCTAAATTTCCTCTCACCCTCTGCTCTTTTGCCCTGTGTCTCCTCTAAACCACCTCTTGCTGAGGCATCTTTACAGAAAACCCAGCTCTTCATTCCTTCCTCATTCATGCCTCCTACATTCCTTACTTTTTCCCCATTCTCATTTTTCTCAACACCTGCCACGTCTTTATATTCTTGTTCACCCTGCCCCTATGATTTCCACTATCTTGAATTTCTTCACAGTACCTTCCCATGGCTTTTTCTTCAGTTCTGTGTCTCCCTTGTATTCAGTCAGCACACTCCAGCAGGTTTCCAATCTCCTTTGAAATTTTTCTAATGAGCTACCCCTTCTCATAGTTATGGGACCCTATATCCCTTTCCCCTCATATCACCCTATCTCCATCCAGCTCATTTTTTCCTCTGCATTCCTGTTCTCAGCACATTTCCACCACCATGCAAGCCTCCCCTTTCATAGCCCCTTCCTTGTAAACACATCCTCGTATCTATTTCTTGACAGAATCAAAGGTGTCTCCTTTTGACGCCCCCCACGAGCATCATGTAGCCGATTATTTTCCATACCTCTCTCCAAATAGCCAATAGTTCACATTTTAATTCCTCCTCCAAACATCCTTTGTGCCCTGTGCTTTCACCTTTCTCCCTCCACTCCCACTCCATACCCAACCTCCCCCTTGCAGACCCTGGCACCCTTGTTTGTCCCTTTCATATCCTCACCCAGCCTCCAGCCTGTACCTTTTGCCATCTCTCTCAAGTGTTACTTCCCCTTCCGAGCTTCTACACTTTTTTCCACCCACAAAGATCCTCTTTTTCCAGTTGACTTGCAGCAGTTTCCTTTTTGAGTTGACCACCTTTGCACAGCTCACCTGCCCTTATCAGCCCGATGCACAACAATACATAGCACCTTATTCCTGATATATAATACTTTCCCTTCAGACTCCTTTTATATACCTTTATATGTAAAATTTCATTTTTCTTTCCCTTAAAAAAAAAAAAAAGAAAAACTCAAACAACCCACAACAGAGCAAACCAAACAAAACCTCTGAAACCTACTTATTTTGTGTGCCTCAACATACAGCACCCTTCTCCACAAAGCACTCCCCTCCTGGCTCTGCTGGTCCATCCTCTTCTCCCTGTGTTTTGGGTCCACCACCTGCAATCATGCCTAATTTTCCTCCCCCCACCACGCTCACACACAGAGCTCCTGGTACTGACACGTGTATCTAAGACCAGTCTTTTTACTACTAGCAGCTGGAACCATGCTGAACTCCCTTCCATTCTCTGCTGCTTTTGTCTGCCTTGACACAAAGCGAGGCTTTTTTTTGCCTTTTTTTTTTTTAATTATTATTAGATTTTCCTTTTTCTTACATCCCATTTTTGGGTGTTTCTTGCACCACTCCTCCACTTACAGGCTTGCACAGATCAGGTATTTCTGTGCATGAGAATGTCTCTCCTATTTGTCTGGATGTTTTCCTGAAGGCACAATGTAAAGGCAAGACTTTACATACCATTTCCACTCCTCATGCAACAAATCACACAAGACTGAGAGCAAAGAGTGCTTTCTGAAAGGTTGTAGCTCATAACAATTGTCTGGACCATATAACACACATCCCTGTCTATTTAAAAAGGGGGGAGGGGGGAGAAGCAACCCCCCTCACACTCACAGAGTCATCTCTAAATAACTGGTTTTGCAATATAGGAACCAGAGAATGTGCACATAGCAGCCCTATTCAATCCAAAATATCCATCTCTCCAGATACTGCATATTTATAGTTCAGGAGATAGGACCAACACAGAGCTTTCCCGTTTATTTTAATGAAGGATTAAGAACTGATCAGAAAACTATCTGAACCATTCAAGGACTTTTTCCCCTCTTGGCTAAGAGCAGTTTGGTGTCTCCATAAGGACTCGCCAGGAACTGACGCTCTAAGCTGCATTTCAGCTGTTTAGATGAGAAACAGCTTTCTATTTTGCTCTCTATATGTGCGTCTACGTTGATTAGTTGTGTGCTGCATTCCTAGAAGGAACTTACCAAACGCTGGAACCTGCAGCGTAGGAATAGTTTCCCTGCCATCCTAGCACAGAGTGAGTGTTTCTTTTCCACCTAGACACAGATGTGCAGGGAGCCTTTTGATCTCCAGTTCCTCGCAGAGAATTTAGTGTTTGGGTTTGAGGAGAATGAGGATTGATTCAGAGGTCATGAATAGGGGTTTCCAGTGTCTGGCACGCACACACACACAAAAAGAAAGCTCCAGTGAAGCTGGTTACCTGAGACAGACGAGGTCTAGAAACTGGGAATTTTGACTTTGCTTGTCAGGGGCTCTAACTTTGCCGGAGGGCGAGCGTGCTGCGTACTGAGGCTGGTTCTTGCAAACCCACGGTCAAGACTTTCAACGCCTTTTGTTATATCTGAACTTGCTCATTTCCCTCTTAAAAAGAAGAGTCTCCTTTGCTTTTGCCTCTTAAACCAGACTCCTTTAGCACCTTGTATTTCTCCTCTGCTGTTTTCTTGCCAGGGACCCGAACAACAGCGTGAGGAGCCGCAGGAGAGGGGAACCTCAGGACTAAACTGTAGGGCAAGTAGGGGTGGGGGAAGGAGGAGGCACAATGGGAAAGGCAACATGTGGGACAGATCTGCTGCTTACAAGACCCCCACCTCCTCCCCATTATACTTCTTTAAAAGACCCCTCTCCCCCCCTCCCCTCCCCGCCCTCTTAGGACCCTATTAGAAAACGTCAAATTTCCCTTACCGTGGTAGGAGTAACCATGGCATCCGTGTGAATGTTTCCAGAAAAGTCGACATGAAGAGAAAGGTGGATGTAAATACGTTCATTCAAAGTCCCAAAGTTGGTCTGCTTGGGCTGTGCAGAGTTGCTCTATGGGAGAGGAGCCTTAAACTCTGAGTCCCGTGAACATAATCTGCTCGATTATAACAAACCAGCTCAGCCAGATGGCTCTGTGCTCCGTGGATTAACCCCTTTATTGCCACACTCTGCTTTCTCTACCTACCTCGCCTGGCTGGGGAAATTCAGAGAATAGGGCATTTTTTTGAAAATGATAAAACTGTCGTAAAGGTCATTTTTCCCCTAAAAAAACCATCTTGTACCTATTTTCTTCTTTTTTTTTTTTTTTTTTTTTTTTTTTTTCATCTGATTGACGGTCTTATTCCTCTTCCTGGCAAAATCTTTTCATATTTTTAAGAACAGTATTAGCACCAGGGAACATTTTAGAGAATTCTTTTGTTAAATCATAACCATCTCTTCCAGACTGCAATTCTCAGAAGATGAGTATTTTATTGCAGGAATGTCTCTGTGTTTGCACTCTAATGGTCCATGCACTCCCCCCACCCCACCCCCCTCTCCCCCACGCTCTCTCTGTCTCCCACATGCACACTGACACACATGCACACATTTTGCTCAAATTGCCAGCATGTGTTGCTATTCTTACCCATATTCAGAAGTCATTATAGGACATGTAAAACAGGTGAAATAGAGACATGGAACTAGAATACCGTAAGCTTTCTCGCTCTGGTTCCTCTTTTTATTTTCTTTTTTTTCTTTCTATCGCTTGTGAATCTCAGACAAGTTTATTTCTTTGCTCAGCATTTCTGTCAATGAAGTCACCCACCATGACACAAAAATAAGTGTTGCAAGAAATATCCACTGTTAAGGACAGGCTTTAGGATGTATTTGTGTCCATTCCTCCTGTTTTGACTTGCAGATTAGTCCATTAAGTAAAGGATGGGAAGTGCCAAAAACATGGAAAGTTCATCAGCAACCAGCAGCGACTGGTTTTTCAAACTTTTTATTTAGAGTGATCACTCACAGAGATGGCTGATAAATTTAGCTGCATGCCTCAAAGTCTCCCTCTAAATTTACATGCTTAAGTCATCTTCTGTTTGATTCAAACATAATTGAGCAAGTCATAACCAAAAGAACGTGGTCATATAAGATGTGATACAACACTTTAAATCTTAAGGGTTGCCAGATTGTTTCCTTAAAGAATGCTTCCTTTACTAGCTAATGGAGTTTTTTCTTTTGCTATTTAACTAAAGAATTTTTCCTTTCTCCCCTCCCTGTGTAAAGATGATTGGTCCTCTCATTCTGCCAAAGCATTGTACCACCTTCTTTAAGACATTTCAAGTCGTCACAGTTTTGTTGAAATATTTTCCACCATGGATTGAAATATGGATGATGTTGGTTGTTGTTGCCCTTTACCTGAATGTTTTCAGCCATAAAATTATACTCTCTGGGGGACTTTACAATTTGTATCCGTCTCATAAATTCTGCCTGAATCGCTTGTTCCCTTTGGCTGCTGAGAAGGAAAGAGTCATCTTCCACCACTGCCTCCTAAGAATTCTCTACTGAAACTTGCTGCTCTGCCAATCAAAAAACCACTCAAACTTTGAAAAACTCTAGAATCAATGGGTTTTGTATTCTCCCTGTGCCTAAGTGCTGTTTTCATCCTATTTAGTGCTTTTTCATCTTAGAGGAGGGAACTAGAATTAAATCCTGTGAGTCCCCCACCCAGCCCTGGTACTGCAGTCAGATCTGAGAAATGCCTAAAATGTGACTCAGCTTTTAATCTCCTGAAGTAGACAAACAGCGCTAGGAATAGAAGAACTTTCCTGTGGCTGGTGAACGTTCCTCTGGAGACAGGCAAAGGGTTAAGCATGTGAAGGCAGCCCTTGCCCGGGAACTTCGCATTTGCAGCAAGCCCAGTTAAAAAAAAAAGAAGGAAAAGGAGAAGTCTAGAAGCAAATGTCCTGAGCAGAGGGGCTGCCTACCTTTGGTGGGAGGCAAACCTATCAGAGCACAAGTGGAGGGGTTTTACCCTGTGTCTGGGTCTGTGGGCAATCAGAGGCCTTGTAATTTGAGACGTGACACCTTAATCTTGCCAAATACGTGTGCGCTGCAAAAAGCATTGTAGGCAGGGTGTTTTCAAAGCTACAGAAAATGGAGACATGTTTGGTCCTTCAAGTTTTCTAACCTTTCTTCTGCAGATGTTTATGTTGTTCAGAGGCTGCTTCTTTCTACATATTTTCGCCTTTTCATCCATTATTCTGGGGGTGGGGTGGTTTTTTCCTGATGCTAACCCTTAGTAGAAATGGATTTCTTTTATGCTGAATTTTTTATGAGAAGCAATCAAGCTCCCAAATGGTCACCTTATTTCATCTGTTGCCCTTGGGTCTGAGGTTCTGACATGGCAAAATAAAAAAAAAAAAAATGTTACTTTGAACAAGAACAAGGCTCTGTTCTGCCTTGAAGAATCTGAAATATTGCTCAGAGCATGCTGTGGAAAGTCATCTTTGAATTCTGGTACTTTTAATTGGAATAATTAGTAGACATTGATCTGATTAATTAGGCACTTGACCAGACTTCAAAACATGTGATATTATATATACTTTGAAGACACGTATTTTTCTCTATGCATTAACAGATACCACTGTGATCGTGTTTGATGATAAAAAATTGAATATTTATAGGGAAGATATGCATGTGAGTATGCAAATAGATAAAAATTTTATTGGGTTTAATGCATGCCTTGGGCCATTCTAAAAGCAGGGGGTGTGTGTCATAATGTTTAGCTTTTGCAACAGCACCACTTTGTGGTTGAAATCCCAAATAGATCCTGAAAGGGGAAGTGACTGTAGGGACACTATATGAGCCTCAGCAAGTTTGAGCAGTTCCCATGGTGGTTTTATATCCATCATCAAACACACCTGAGATGGAAATATGTCCCAGCCACGTGGTCCTCCCTTCATAAGAGGGTAGTTTTGAAGAAAAGGCAAAGAAGAAGCAGAAGATTAACTCTGAACATTTTGTCTCAGATCTTCAATGCAGAAGGATGTTCGCCTTTCCAACGTCAAAATCACTTTTGTTCAGGTTTCCGGAATTTATTGAAGGGTCTGACAACATCTCTAGAAAAATTTCTTACTTGAAATGTGCTACAAATGCTTCGTTAAAAGTAAAAATTAATTCAAGTATGGTTTTATGGTGGTAGAAATGGTGGTGGGAAAGAATAGGTTATTTCAGAAAATATTTATTTAAACATTATGTTAATATTGTTTTAAGACAGGTGAGAAAAATTAAATAAAAATTCCAAGCAGGATTCAGAAACAAGGTCAAACTTGGTTCTGACATGGATTTCTTGGAAGTAATCTTCTGCAGTTTTTCCTCTTTCTCAAAATAAATAATCTGCTAAATTCTCAAAATAATTACATCAGCTCATAACAATTAGCATGGTAGATCAAGGATAACACAGGGGCAAACAGGTACCCAGAGCTGTGGCCATGCCAAGAGGTAGGACGGGAAAAATACATGTAAATAAGCAGGAATGACAGTCACACCCTAAAAGCCATTGTTCTTTAGACCTCTTCCTGAAACAAGGCATTTTACAGTTAGCTTTTATGCAAACCTATTTCCTTGACAGAGAGTGAGTGAAGTGAGATTAGATGGGATTTTTAAAATACAGTTAATTAAAATAATAAGCAACAGACTATTTTGCATCTACTAATTACAACTACTAGTACTTTTTTGTGAGAAATATTTTACATACATACACAACACAGCAGTATTCACCCCAAATTTTTAAGTGTTTTACAAATGCTTTTCATTTCAAAGTTTCCCTGTTGCTTGGAATGTAGGGATCTGTACTCCTATATCAAAATAAAGCCATATATTAAGTAATATACAAGAGGGAACTTACACTTGCCAATATATAGCTGTGTTTTTGGATTAGATTTATGGATGATTACAAATCTCTCTACTACTAATGTGCTACATCATTTATTAGCTTAGCACATATTTTGGACTTACTTATATTTTTTTACTTACTTATTTGCCTTTTTCTGATGGTATCTAATTTTTTTCAGAGACGATCTTTATTGCAGGAGCAATCCAGAATTGCTGCAGCAGGACAAAGTTAGTTGATGATAGGCAACATTTTGGGAGATGAAATCTATTCCTTGTAGCCATAAGCTTACTTTTGCAGCCCTTACTCATTTGTTATGATTGCCAAACTAGAACTTCCATGAATATCTGTAAAAAAAACCCTAAGGAAAAAAATCAAATTAAAGCTTTATGAAGAAGTTTGGTTCCAATATTTGTTCTGGAACTGGGAAAAGGTGCCTTCAGTTTTTAATGGTTCAGTTTTTAATGTTACTCCCAGTAACAGCACCATTCTTTTGTGAGGAAGAAAAATTCCAATCTGGGACATATAAAGCACTTTGGTAAGATGTCAGCTGGGATGCAGGATCCAGCTCTTATCATAGTCAGATCAGAGAAGACCTGGAAAATGACAGAAGCAATGATTAAAAGATATATTAACATGATTAAAGATAGTTCGAAACACACAGTATGATGAAAAATGAAAATTGTAATTGCTTATCAAAGATGAGAGAACTAGCAAGGTGTTATGATTGAATACTTTGAGCAATTCTGCATCTCCAAGAGAGTAGATCACATCCTGAACCACTGGGAGAAGAAATTGCAGCACGATTTAATCAAGTTAGACACGAGGAAAAAGCAGACCCAAGCTCCAGATCTGGTTGCCTCATTGAAGGTCCACCCCAACAGAGTAAAGAAAACTGTCAGGACCCACAAGGCTCTAACTGATCCTGCACTGAGGCAAGGCAAGGTCTAGGTAATCTCTCTCAGCCCATCTCTCCCATGACTACATAACTTGGATCATCTTTGAAAAATCGATATTTTCAGGAACATCACATACTCAGGACTCTGACCAAGGTTTGGAAGAAAACTTCCCAGCGAAATCATTCAGGAAGTTTCTATTAGATATTCATATCCTTGGTTTGGGACATAAAGTGTTGTTGTCACTGGGGGAATTTTCCCAGTAGGGAGGTTAACCACAGGACTGCTTTTCTCTCCTGGACTGATGCTTCTGCATCTT